CCATTAATAACTGACCGTTTTGATCCTTTGGCACAACTCGATGAATTTAGTAGATCCTTTTAGGAGGCCTCAATGACCATAGATCGAACCTATCCAATTTTTACAGTACGATGGTTGGCTGTTCACGGACTAGCTGTACCTACCGTTTCTTTTTTGGGATCAATATCAGCAATGCAGTTCATCCAACGATAAACCTAATCCGAATTATAGAGCTACGACACAATCAAACCCGAACGAACAAAATGTTGAATTAAATCGTACCAGTCTCTACTGGGGGTTATTACTCATTTTTGTACTTGCTGTTTTATTTTCCAATTATTTCTTCAATTAAGAGAAAGAAAGAGAATAGTAATAGTAGGAATTTTCTTATTCCATTCGGAAGGATATCATCTTATCTCATAATTATCTATGACTGTTTATGTCTCTAGCATGACCACTTGAGAAAATGTGGAGGGAAGTGGGGTAAATGGCCGATACTACTGGAAGGATTCCTCTTTGGCTGATAGGTACTGTAACTGGTATTCCTGTGATCGGTTCAATAGGTATTTTCTTTTACGGTTCATATTCCGGATTGGGTTCATCCCTGTAGTAATCGGATGAACTGGGTTGTAGACATGAAAAAGTAAGAACTCAACTGGACCTTGCCCCCTCTTTGAATCAGACAAAGAGGGGGCAAGGTCCAGTTGAGTTCTTACTTTTTCAGCGAGACTTTGATCCATTCCATAACATAAAAGTTGGAAATTCATCCAATCAACATAATCATAATATTCTATTCAAATAACAAAGCAGGACCTTTGCTCCGATGTTTTAAACCACCCCATTCTTTTTTTTTTTCTGATGATGTTTTTGAAGAATTAACTCCATTGATTAATTCAGAGCATCTGTTTCTCCATACATAGTATCTATCGATTCTTCCGAAGTAAGAAGAAAAAGGGAATCAATCGATTTTCTGGATGACACAATAGAATATAGATTTCTGTAGATGAGACATCATGCAAATCATTTCTATACTAATAGAACAGAACCCTACTCTACTCTATTTCAATTTAATTTAATTTGAATTTATTTCATCAAAGTTTACATTTTATTTTTTTTATTAAATTAAATTAAATTGAATAAATCTAAACAAAGAGGTTCCGCTAAACTTGGAAAAAATATCTTTAATGAACGGGATCAAGAATCATTATTATTTCGACACAAGTAAAGGGTAGAAAATTCCCCTTCTTGTGCCGAAGATTAGGAAGACGAGTAATCCCTCCTAGAATCAGTTGTTCCTTTCATTTATTCCTTGCTTTATATTCTCCTCCTACTTGTACTTATGTGCTTAATATCTATTTTTTATTCACTATTCACTATTCATTTATCACTATTCATTTATTCTATTATCTAATACTAATAGAACAGAAAATTATTGATACATTATCTGGCATTTACAATCTGGCAATAATGACATAGTCACATCATTCGGATTTGGATTGAAAAAAAGGTCAAGTCAAATAGTCTTCTTCGCAATATACATATACTATTACTAGGAATAGGATACAAGTAATTCCCGACATCTCCCAGAAAAACAGTAGAAGCAAGGCAAGCAAAAGGCTTTTCATGATCTTTTTTTATCATACATAATTGCATCAATCAAAAAGAATTTGGCTCTTTTCTTTTACCAACTAACTTGATGTTGATAAATCCGTGAATCTAGAAATTCATTTCGGACAATTGAACCTTCTCAAACTGTTTCTTTTTAAGAACCAAAAAGATTTGTGCCAAAATAACAGATGCAAAGAAGAACAAAAGGCCTTGGACACGTAATGGATCTTGCAGTACTATTTCTGCATCTCCCTGACCAAATCCACCCACATTGGGATTACTCGTTAATGGTTGATCAAGCTTGATGGATTCACCCTCTGAAACAAGAAGTTCGGGTCCTGGAGGTATAATATCAACCACTTGGTGTCCATCCGATGCATCCGCTATGGTTATTTCGTATCCCCCTTTTTCTTTACGTACGATTTTGCTTACTATACCCGCTGCTGTAGCATTATAGACTGTATTGTTACTCTTGCTCCCATCAGGATAAATTTGACCCCTTCCCCTGTTCCCGCCTACGTATATAGGATATTTTAAGAAGTGAATATCTTTCTTAGTAGCGGGGTCCGGGGAAAGAATAGGAAAGGTAATTTCACTATATTTCTGACCAGGAACCGGACCTATTACAAGAATATTTTTTTTAGTGGGGCGATAACTCTGAAAAGAAAGATTGCCTATCTTTTCTTTCATCTCGGGAGAAATACGATCGGGGGGAGCTAATTCGAATCCCTCAGGTAAAATAAGAACAGCCCCTACATTCAAAGCCCCTTTTTTACCATTAGCAAGAACTTGTTTCAGTTGCATATCATAAGGGATTCTAACAACTGCTTCAAATACAGTATCAGGAAGTACTGCTTGCGGAACCTCAATATCCACGGGCTTATTAGCTAAATGGCAATTGGCACATACAATACGCCCAGTCGCTTCTCGTGGATTTTCATAACCCTGCTGTGCAAAAATGGGATATGCATTTGAAATGGATGTCCGAGTTATTACATATATCATGATCGATACGGAAATGGATCGAGTCATCTGTTCCTTTATCCAAGAAAAGGTATTTCTATTTTGCATGGTCCAATCATTGATCCCGAAAATTTCTACAATAAATTAGGTAGGTGGCTAGTATAGTTCCCTATCCACAATTCTGCTAGTGTACTGGAATAATTTTTTTGACATATAGGAGGAATCCCCTCGATGGGTAGAAATAGAAAAAATGAGTAAGATTTTAAACGGTTTGTTTATGTACAAAGTAACAAACATTATGATTGGATTAATGTCAATATATCATTCTTCAGTCATTCATTGAATGATAAATCACTACAAGTGACGGAGATACACGATTTAAATAACGGAAGATCCAATATTTAAAAATTGTATCTAGAATAACTGGAAAAGTGGAAACAAGACCAGATATAATTTGCTCATTATGAGCAAATCCAAAATCTTTGTAGATAGAGCCAATCATTAGTTCCCAACCATGGGGCGAGTGGAATCCTATACATAAATCGGTTAATAAAAGAATAGAAAAAGCTTTTATTGTGTCGCTTAAGTTATATAGAAATTCCTGAACCCAAGAATTCAGAATGACAAGTTCTTCACTACCCAGAATAGAATAACCACTTAGAATAGCGAAACAGATTATATTTGTCGAGAAGTGCAAAATGGTATGGATATGACCCTCATTGTACATCTTGACCAATTGTATTGTTTCTTTGTGGATTCTTATATGAAGCTTTTGTATATGTGTCTCCGGGTATTCCTTTATCATTTCGTTCAACAGGAATAGTTCTTCTAATTCTATAAATTTTTCTAAAACGTTCTTTTCTTGAATATCATTCAAAAAAGTTTCGGATTGCCTAGTATTCCACCAATTAGTAACCCAAGATTCCAGACTTTTATTAAATGAGAGAGAGATCCACCAGGGCAAAAATACTATAGATGCAAGATATGGGAGGGGAGTGAATGCTTTCTTTTTTGGCATTTTAATCTGTGAATTGTTAATGAACCTACCTCATTCGTCGACTCTATCCGATCTGATATTTCTATGAAGCATGAGTTTTCTAACAAGGTATCGAACCTATGGATCTATTCCCTGTTTTTTTTTATTTTTAATTGTAATTAATTGGTTAGTCTTAGTTTTTAGATCTAGAAAGAATATAGAAATAGAATAAAGGTCCGCTTCGCTTCGAATGAAGAAATAAAAAAATATTATTTCCGGATATCTCAATTGGTCAAATTCGAAGCAATTACATCCTTTGGACGAATGCGCGAAAGAACCACTTCAAGTAATGAATATTCGAATTTCGAGACGAAAAAACTCCCCTTAGATCAAATATTTCGAAAAGTTTTACTGGCTACCCATAGCCCAGGAATAATTGAGGAAATTTCTGAAGAATATTGATGTGATGATGAAAAAAAATAGGTGGCAAAACAAGAGAGAAATTGGATGGTTATAAGAGATCCAATCGTTTGGTCATCAAGGGGCAAAAGAAAGGATAAAAAGAAACATCGATTGACAAAAGAAAAGAGAGAGAATTTACAAGATATGATCCATCTGTATCTAACGTATCAATTCAACGGACCTAAAAAGAGGAATTCTGTATTCTGAAATGTTCTGATATATGATGAATCCATACTTATTAGATTAGACTTGTTACTAGTATGAAAGAATTAAGTTGATTTTCATACGCATAAAAAATCAATCATTCTGATAGACAAAAACTGCTTCGTTTTATGGTTGTTCCATATACGTCTGCTTTTGTTTTGCTCGAATGAGCTTTCTGAAGAAACTTCAGTTAAGTTATATAAAAAAGAGGATTCTTGAGTTCCTTCCCTCATGCTAAGAAAGCATTCATTCTTCAGTTCATTTCAAAATACTTCAATTGGTACGCGCAAGAAATAGGCCAATTCAGCAGCTTTTTGTTCAATTTCTCGTGGAGTCAAATTTTCATCAGTGCGAGTTAAGGGAATGGCTCCCTGGCCTCTGATTTCCATATAAAGGACACGACGAGGATAAATACCCTCTTTAACTTCTATTCTGATCGACTGGATATCTCTCATAAGGAATCGAAGGAAGATACGACGATTTTTTCCAGGAAATCCCCAACGAAAAATACACACTATTCCTTCTTTTCTATCGAATCGATCATAACCACTACCTACATTCCACGAAATTGTGCACCACAAATAGGAGCTAATGAACAGACCTGCGATCCCATAGAAAGACATCACGATTCCCTGTGGAAAAAAAAGGATTTGCTGAGACGGAAATAAGGATATCAGATTCCTACCAAGATAACTGGAAGTTCCAACCAATAAGAACCCTAGTGAACCTAAAAAAAGGATAAAGGCCCAGCAGAAATTACTTGTTTTTCGAGACCCCGTTATAAGTTCTATCCATATACGTTCTGATCGCCAGTTCATACTAGATCTAGTTGCATTTTATTGGAATTGAAGGAATAACCCAAATGAATTTGACTTGACTTTTTTTGTTCCCGAAGTAACTCTCATCAACTAGTCCTATAATGATGTGAACCGTTAGGAGTATTTCATCCAATTGGTTAGATATAAAAAAATAACATCCCCCTCATATGATCCCACTATGGATATCTACATACATATAGATACATTGACTTTCCATTTCAAACATCTGCTGATCTATTTTAAAATAGCTATAATGCATTTACCCATATATCATGTTTCCGCATGCATAACAGCTTTTTTTCATTTGTGTTTGTAGAAAACCACTTGTTGTACCATATTCTACTAAATAGATGTCTGTATTATGATCCAAGTCCCAGTCTTGAAAAAAAAAATGGATGAGATTTGATCCCATCGGATCTAGACAATCTTGTTTTTTTGAACATGAAGAAATAAAGAAGCCATTGCAATTGCCGGAAATACTAGGCCCACTAAAGGCACAAAAATAGAGGGTAAGTTGAAAGTTGTCATAGAATGGGTACCTCGATTTACTATTTGTACCTGTTATAAAGATATCTTACGATAAGTATATCTATTATAAATATATAATAAGTGCAAGGAATGTAGAACTAAATAAATGTACCTATTCCCCTTTCTACATGAAACATATGTATGATAATCCACTTTATTATTCTTGTTTTCTTGTCCTTATTTTCTAATAAAGAAAGAGTTTCTTACGAATTCCAGAAGGATTCGTTAGAATCCGATCCGACAGGGATTCTTAGTAAAAATGAGGATTTTCGGCAGATATAGAAATATACAAGACTTCTATTCGATTATTCTATATCTATATTTGAATTAGAATTATAAGAATTATATATACATATAAAGTACGTAAGATAAGAAGGGAACATGAAATTTTTTTATTTTCCTAATTTCACGGAAGAAAGGATTCACTCTTTTATTCTGTTGATAGAGGGTTCATGATTACTAATCATGAAAATAGGTAAAAAAAATGGATCAGGAGGAAAAAAGTAATTCTCCGAAACTTCTGATTCTTCCTACAATTGGATCTTATGTCACCAAAGAAAGCCCTTTTCTTTCTTCTTTTCTTATTTGTATTTGGATTCCGATAAACTAAATACTTGTTCGCCACAAAAAAATAATTGAACTTAATGCTCTACTTGATTGAATTTTGATTCAAGGGAAAAAAACCGTGGAGCTGAAATAACTCACTCAGAACGTCTTTTAACAGATTACGTGGTACGATTGGATCGAATAAGCCCTTATGGAATGAATACTCAGCCGCTTGTGAATTATCAGGTATTGTATTCTTTAATGTTTGTTCAACTACTCTTTTACCCGCAAATGCAATGTAGGCGTTGGGTTCGGCAATAATGATATCTCCCAACATACCAAAACTAGCTGTCACCCCACCGGTTGTAGGAGATGTAAGGATTGATACATAGAATAACTTTTTATTTGATTGATAATTATATGAAGCGGAAGATATTTTAGCCATTTGCATCAAGCTCAAACTTCCTTCTTGCATGCGCGCTCCTCCGGAAGCACACACTATAATAAGAGGTAAAGATCTATTAGTAGCATACTCGATCAAACGGGTGATTTTCTCGCCTACTACGGATCCCATACTACCCCCCAGGAACTTAAAATCCATAACCCCAATTGCTACGAGAATCCCATTTAGTTGACCTATGCCTGTTTGAACAGCCTCAGCTAACCCTGTACTTCTTTGATTAAAATCGATACGCTTCTTATAATGTTCCTCCCCCGAATGAAAATTAATGGGGTCCGTAGAGACCATGTCTTCATCCATAGGATCCCAAGTGCCCGGATCAATCGAACGTTCGATTCTATCTGAACTACTCATTTTCAAATGATATCCACATTGTTTACAAATATTCATTGTTGACATCAAAAGTTTCTTATAATTTAATTCATAACAATTTTCGCATTGAACCCACAAAATATCGCTTTTTTTATTTTTTTCGAGATCCTTGTTTCTTCTTCTTTTATTGAAATCACTGCCAGTCGCCCTAGTTGTTATACTGGAACTCCCACTGTCACTACGACTACTATTTACACTTTCGCTACAAATGTAAGTATAAATGTAACTGTCACTGTAATTGTCGCTATCACTTGAAATGTAACTATCATCAATACGGATTTCAGAACGAAGATAAAGATAACTGTCAATGCAACTATTAATGTGATTATTCCAACTATATTTAGTATCAGACATGTAACGATCATAGTAGTGATTGTCACTCTTAGATCCATTTATTGGATAACTAGAATTCAGATAACTAGAAAATAAATTTTCGAATTCACTCAGAAAAGAATGATCATTGTCAATCTCAAAAATCTGATTTTCAATATCCAAATATATGGAATAACTGTCACCATTACTATCCCTAACTAAAAAAGTGTCATCAGAGATGAAACTCCGAATGTCTCTGACACCGAATAAAT